GGTAATCCCGAGGGTTTTCACCCGGGTAAATCCCGAGGGTTTCCCCCCGGGGTAAATCCCGAGGGGTCGCGGCTGTGCTGCTGCGGCAGAGCGATGCTCCTGGAGATGCGCTGAGTGCCCGGCGCCCCGTCCTTCCCTCGCCCCCGCTCCGCCGTGCATCGCTGCATTTGTGGTTTTTTCTATAATCTCACATTATAAATGTGCCTTTACCCCTGTCCTGCCTGCCTGGCCCGTACCCTCCTGTCCGTGCAGAATTCCCGTCCTCACCGGCGGGTGCCTGTCTCACACGCTGGCATCTGGTACATTGGATTTGGGTTTTGTTGTTCCAGGTTCCACCAAGTCTCTATTGCAATAATTTGGTTCCACATTCCTGTACAACACCCGAGCTGGTTTGCTGCGCTGGTGCTGGGCCCTGGGCGGGATGGCTTTGCTGCTCCAAGGCTGTGCTGGGTCTCAGGAGTTCACCAGCACTTTAATGGGCGTGTTTTGGGGCAGTTTCTCTGTTTTCCYGAACGCTGAAATTGCTGGGGGGATCATCTCTCTACTGAGCGTTTGCTTTAATGGGTGACCGTTGTGATTCTGGGGCAGTGGAGACTCTGGAATGGTTGACTGTGTCTAYAGCTTTGTGGCTMTACTTCRAGAAGTTCAAYCTGGTRTCTRAMTATGCCAAGACATGGTATACRATAAATGAATCTGCCTTTTYTGACCTTTCCTTTACTCTTATTTTRCTTTATCTGAAATCCCCAGATATTTATAATGGATACCCCTACTGCACAGTTCAGGGTTTCTCAGTSCTTTAACAACCTAGTTCCGTTCCATGGAACTGAGTGTTGTTTAGTACTATTTGCTAGGTACTTGGAGGAGAGGTCATTTGCATCTTTTAACTTAATTCCACAAGGCTTTCCTTCTCTATTCTGAGTGCATTTACCCCACTGGATTTGCACAGCATCATCCTTGTATCCCAGAAACATTCTCATGTCACTGTATCTAGCAGTGAGTTACAGTCTTTGAGGATACTTTCAGCTTCTAGTCATGTTATATGTGAAGTAACTCTAGTAATATATTTGGAAAGTCAAGTCTAAATTGGGCTGCTCTTATTTAATGTTATGAAGCTACCAGGTAGGATTTTGTGCAGCTTGTAACAATTGCTGGTCTTKTGCTTCAGTTCAGAACTTCGTTTAAAATTGATTTTGGATCACATCTAAGAAAATCTTTTGGAAGAATTTGAATTTGTGCTTAACCAGAGCGTACTCACTGTTTGCAGCTTTGTGAGAAACTTGACCAATTTTTATATTATTAGGAGAAAAATTGAAATTGGCCCAAGACCTGAAGGAGGGTTCTATTTTGTCAGTAATGTAACTGGAGGTTTTCAGTCAGGCCTTGTAGCCACCAGCGCTGCTGCTGTGCTCAGAATGATTAGACAACCAAAGGCAGGATTTCTGTCAATAGGATKGTTTAGGTTTAGGATCTCTGAGATCAGCCTGGCGAGGGTCGGGCTGGGCATGGCCCTTCTGTGGCTGCCCCAGGATGAGTGTTAGCCAGAGACAGATTATGAAAATGGCACATTAACGTGTGGAAAACTTGAAACTGGGTTAAAGAATAATGGTCATCAAAATGCAGCGATCATTGATACCACAGCGCGGAGTTTCATTGCACAGCCACTGCTCCTGTGCATGAAGAAAGAAAGTTCTGTCCTGTGCCAGCACTGCAGAGAGCCCTGGACAATGTGCTCAAACCATCCAGAAAGCTGTGAAAAAGAGATGCTTTTCTGGTGTATCTTCATTGGTTTTACTCCACGTTAACTCTCCATGATGAGAGGATGTCACCTCCTCCCCTTGGATGGGATTCTGGTGGGGCTCCCACTGGGAAGGACAGAGGACAGAGCCACAGCAGAGCCCTTGCAGTGCAGAGCTCTCCTCAGAACGGCAGGGACAGTCACTGCTCCATGAACAGCAAACCGAGTGACCTAATTCAGTGTTCACAGCAGCCTCAGCTGCTCCACGCTGCCGCTGACTCAGCACTTCCAGAGTGCAGAGATGGCATCTGGCAGGCCCCAAGGATTGGGCTGTTTTCTTATTMATTTTAAATTGATTAAAATGAATTGTTAAAATACCAGCAGACACTTGCCTAAAGGTACGGTTATTAAAAAGAAGAGTAGGACATAGTTGGTGTGTGGGAGTTACTGCATGTTAACAACCCCTGGCTCCTGCAGCTGCAAACACCCGGTGCAGCTTGGAGGAGTCTGATGGCAGCTGTTCTGTCCTGGCAGAATAATAACAACACCATTAATCCATCATTGTTATAAAAAAGTGAGAACTGGAAACTGTGCTTGCTCATAGCCAGCACAACCCCCTGGTGTCCTTGTGCACGGCAGGGTGGTATTACCATCTCAGCTCCATGACTTGTCCAGAAGTCTCGATTTCCTGGGAAGTTCTCCCTACAGGAGCCTCCCGTTCTCTGCAGCATCTCCCAGAGCTGAGGAAGCTCCTCACAGGGTCCCGACACCCCGAGGGATGGGCTGTGGGCTGTGTGTGCCAGGAACAGGCTGTGGGCTCCTGCTCGGCCTCCCAGGAGCTGCCAGAGCCAGCCCAGATGGGTGAAGGATCCCTGGCAGCACTGTCTGAGCTCAGTTCTAGAAAAGCCTCTCCCTGGGCTGTTGTCACGGCTGTGCCTCACGCTGTGCACTGAGGGGTGTGCTGTCCCTTGGTGCGATGGAAACCATCTGCTGCASTGGAGCTGCACAGGTCCTGCTCCTGCAGAGGGATGAAGCTTTTCCCTTCTGCTTTTCCCCTCTCCCACTGGTGGGGCAGTGGGTGCAGCCCAGCAGCCC